CCAGAATTTGGTTGATGGGAACAGCTACAGGGAACCTTGATATTTGATCAGGAAATGTCAACATGTTTCAACGGTAGATGTTCCCTTAAATTGGTTTTCACGGCTGGTTGTGGGTGGCGGTGTCTCCAAAGACCAAGCTTTGAAAAGTAGGCAAGAGGTGCTCTGGAGCGTGTCGTAGCTGCAATTTTCGTCAACTATCTTGAACTACCGGAGGGTGAGTTCTTCATTTGGTTTGTGTGTGTGTGTGTTTGTGTTGGTGTTTGTGTTGGTGTTGTTGTTGCTGTGTTTTCTTGCTGTGTGCTGCGAGAGCGGGAATAAATATAATTATAATAAGATATACTTGTTTCCCTATTGTACTTTTTATACTAACATGTAATTACACAATATTTTATAAAATGTCATGTTGTATGCCGTACATTAATTTGCAATATATATATATAGATATTTATTTCTAGTATATAATATTGTCGTGCATTATGTTTGATACATGTACAGCGTAGACATGAACTTGCACAAACACGGGCGTGCGTTGGTCGAAGCACTTTGTCACCAAATCAGAGGGGCATACTTGGGTATGCAGGCCAGGGGCAAAACTCGTGGTAAAACTCATGGGTATAAGCATGGTGAGTTAAGCCTCATACCTTGGGATACAATCCTACTGTATCTCTTGTGTATGCTGAGGAATTGACCTCGACTCGCTCTCCCTTCACTTAAAGAGCAACAGATCCTGCAGTTTGCTCAGCGGGCTTCATACCCCTTGAGATATTGCGATGGGTCAAACTTTGGGAACATTTCAAACAGTGATTTCGATGTATCAACCGCTTCCCTGAAATGTCCACCACCCAGCCTTCAGCCACTTCAGCCCATGCAGGCTGGGAAATTGAGAGGCCCAGAGGCCCAACCTCCCATCAATCCACTAGTGTCGCAGCTGAATAAAGGCCTTTTTCGTATAGCATAGCCTTGGGATCCCTTGGGGAATTGGTGGCATAGCGATTGGAAATCACTATGTTTAATGGGTAGATATATGTGTAATTAAATCTATAAATGACATGTTTCCATAGTTATGTTGAATTACCGAAAAAGTACTTATTTTTTTAATGTATCCATTTCCTGGGATTATTGTTTCACCAGTTCCTTTCTTTGTTTATACTCGGGTTAAGGACGATAAACATTACGTCCATTTCCAGATGACACGCTGCAACCACCTCTTGCGATCCAAATGCGCCGCGTGCTTGACGCGTCTCTTGGCGTCTCTTGGGTCGAAGAGTCAAAGGAGAAGACATGGACATTCCTTGGTCGAACTCATTCTGCCCAGCGGATCTTTTAATTTTATACTCGTATAAAATTGTGGGTTCACCCTGCTGAAGAACACTTTCGTGGAACCCCTAAAACTATACGGAGAATGTTGCCACAAAATGAGTGATATGAGTGATTCTTCGCTTCTCCCCCAATCAGGGCGTTCAGAGTCGGTCAACCCTGATGGTCCACGACCGGCCCATGATTCTCAACAGTTGGATGCAAAAGAAAGTTGGGCTTAGGTACTTTTTTCTGATTGTTCCTTGTCACAAGTAAGTGTCAAATTTGGGAAAGATTGGTGTTAGCTGGATGGGTACTTTAGATAAACTATTCGTAGCGTAGCTGTTATAAATTGTTTGTTGCAACTAATCATGCAGGTATCTAAGAGTATCCATGAGAGATCTGTTTTCTTGGCAACCGCTTTGACCTGATGGTAATGGAATTGTTCATTTCCATGACGCTCATCCTTTAGATGGGCCATTGGAAAAAGAAACGAGATTCCTGGTTAGTAATTGGGTTATAAAATGTTATAAACCACTAGGTTCATATCCCAAAATATGCTACTTTTACTGAGTAGCTCAATGAATTCCATGACTCACATCCTTTACATCCTTCAACCCTTGATCTCCAGCGTCTGACGCACCCAGCTGCAGCTTCGAGTTGAGTTATCCCAAAAAAGGCCGGGAAATCAACGGGCTGTCCGCGGATTGGCTCATGGCTCAACGGGCAGATCAATATTCTGGGCAAATTATGACGACCTCACTGTTCTCCCGAAACCTGGAATCATGGTTAGTCAGGGGAATCATCCCCAAATAATCAGCCCAACATTTCAGGTGAGTGAAATAATTTAATTTACTCAGAATATTGGATGTTAAACAACCAAACCTTGAGATATTGACAAGCTAAAAAACAACGATATAGATCAACTACTATTGAATGCTAGCATACATTACTTACCAATATTATTCAGTACTATCCAATATGAAATGGGATGTGTGGATAAACCAACCGGTAAAGGGACAGTAAAGACATGTTCGTTTTGAGACATGTTGAGAACATGTTTCATACCCAGCTACCAGTTATTTCATGTGTTCTTCTTCCCGCTGAGTACCTATAGCCATGGTAGGCCATGTGTGTATACACACACACATTTACACTTTACACATAGATTTATTTGGTGGGTTCCTACAATGGGGGTTACCCCTAGGCCTAAGCAGACAAAAGGGCCGAAAAAAAACAAATCATCCATGTCGATAGGATTTTCCATTATCAACCATCCAGCTACTGGGGTGCCCCCCTTTTTTGAAAACCCTCCATGTATCTGTGTGTTCCACCATGGCACCAGCATCTGTAGCCTTACGAAGTTTCGGAGCTTAGGCTCCACGTTGCCAAGACCGCAGTGAAGGGCGCGCACACACAGGCGCTGGTTTCGCCACATTTGGTCAGCTTCGCTTCCGTGAAACCTTGTGCCATTCAAAAATGGGGAAGCATCATTGGTTGAAGATGAACCAATCAATAGCAATTGTGGTAGGTATTTCATGTCTGATCTTCATAGGTTTAAGATTTTCCCTCTGGTAAACTAACATAACTATGGAAAATCATCATTTTTAATGGATAAATCAACTATAAATGGCCATTTGCAATGTTAAATTACCAGAGGGTTGACCTCGGTTTGGTGAAAACGGGTTGATGGGAAACTTCTTCGGTCCATTTCGGGCCATCCCAGTGGGACATGCTGGAGGCTTTCATGGCACGCTTCGGTACTGCCCCAGGGAGCTAAATCGCAAATGTGGTTTAGATGAAGAGATGTCACTGGCAGTCACTGGGGTTTATGATAGATATAGGACCATTCTTTGATTTTCACTAGGTTTATGATGTTTATGGTGGGCAACTTATAGTGACGAAGTGCTCAGGTGAACAGTGGCTGAAAACCCCCTGGCTGAGCAGGTCTCCCATCACCGCAGTGAACGGCCGCAGACTCAGACTGATCAGACTGCGACTGGTCCCGGAGTTCCGGATTGTTGGTGGTTAATAGTGGTTAATGATGGTTAATGATGGATTGAGGTCATGTAGGGCGTTATACTCAGTGGTTAATTGATGATCATTGGTGGCTATTCTAAGCCATAATCCGTACTGGTGGGAATATAGGAGCATTTTTCACAGCAAAAACATCGGATATGATTCTAAAATGGAACAAAAAATCGACATGCAGAATGATTGATGACTATTGATGTTTGGTATTTAGCCTCGGGTAATCAAACATGGCGTGCTGAAACAATTCCCATTTGTAGATGATTTTCCCATTCAAACTTCCATTGATAGGGGATGTTCCATTGCCATTGTTGAGTCATACCCAAAGGCGCCTTGCATATGGGACCTACATGAATGGATCCACTAGATTCTACCATGGTTTCCAGTGGCTCGGGTGGTTGGAAGTATGGAGGCGGGTCAGAACTGGATACCCAAAGGGTTTTTTGTCGTAAAGCAAAGTCGAAACCTATGGTCACCCCCACACTTCTTGCACTTTAGACCCATAGACATTGTAGATTGGTACTGCAAGTGAAGGTCTGTTAGGTACGAAGATGATCCGGGTTACACACCCTAAATTATTCAATATTTAGCAGCACACTCCAACTTGATTCTGTGGAATATGGCCTTCGTTGGGTGTACTAAGCAGGGAGAGCTGGCACCTGCCAGAACAGAACTGAGAAGGCCGTGGGAAAAATCTGTTGGCTTTGCCACATCACATTACCATGGTAAAATGCTGTTGGCTTTGGCCCATGCTTATCTGTGATGGGGAAAATCATAGGAAAATGGAGGTTTTAATGAGAAAACCAGGGGAAAACCATAGGAAAATGGAGGTTACCCTCTGGTTATGACTAACAGTTTGCCATGGAAAGATCCACCATTTTTAATTACGGTAAACCATCTATTTCTATGGGCCATGTTCCATGGCCATGTTAGTCATAACCAGAGGGTAATTTGATATGTTGTTTTGGGAGAAGCTGCCGAATAAACTGCACCTGCGGATTGATGCCGTGGTTTTGCCCAAGGGGTGAGGTTCATCCCTATTACCTGCGGCTATTCACATAGAGAACACCTTGCAAGTAAGAAGCGCGTCGGAATTTGCTAGTGATGTATCACTCATTTGACAATCAGTAGCGATCGATCATGGTTGCGGCTAGCCGGCTAGCAACAGTCTATGCCTTAGGGGGTTTTAGTCGTGAAATTTAAGCTGAAACCAACACATCGGAGTTGTGTAAACACCATTGTTATCATTTGTTTTCAACGTAGGCTTCGAGTGTCAGCTTTCTGGGGATAGCAGTCGCCAGGATGGTGCTGCCTTCGGAGTACCATCATCCTTTACGAAATCTAGGGTGCTGCATTAGCTTGGCTTGGCCAATCCTAGCCACGTATACCAACATATACCGTATACTGATGGTTGATAATATTCAGCAACTCCTGGAAAGGATTGATTTGGGGGATTTCGTCAGGGAAAACAATTGTTTACGCACCCAAATGATGTACCCTCTGGTTCTGACTAGCCATGGTATAAATGGCCCATTATAGATGGTTTACCTATTAAAAATTGTGATTTTCCATGGCCATGTTAAATAACCAGATGGTACATAATTAAATGAATTATAGGAGTGTCCTTTTTCGTCTCAACCCTTCTCAGCAATCCTGTCGAAAAATCATGGCAAGTTTGCTACATGGCGTCGAATTTCTGTGACCCCATCACAGGCGGGGCTTGCCACCGGAGAGGTTGATTGGATATTCTTCAAAACATCATTTTTTTTAAAGAGGTATGTAAAGTTTGTTTTTCGCTCTATTATATCTGAACGAACCCGTGGTGGAACATATTGCATGTATTCGTTTACACCAGACAGCAGAACAGGAAACTAAGAATTGCACCAAAAAGCTTGGAATACAAGCACAACAAAATCTTATATGAGCTGGAAATTCATGTTAGTGAGAAGGGATGGTATCCAATTATATTTTTGTTAAACCAATATATATATATATATATACATAGTGTATATATATATATATTTGTACTGTATACTACTGTAAACTTATTATACTTATATCTTTGTTTTGTGGTTCATATATCCTAACCCCCATTCTCGGGTAGGTATATAAATACCATATAAGTGTTGCTCGTTTTAAATCCTAATCCCAGTTTTGCTGGTCAAATCATTTTTTGGTGCCGGAGAAGTCTACATTTGTATTGGTTAAACCGCAATTTTTGTTGGTTAAACTGCTGTTTTTGTTGGTCAAACCGCATTCTTGGTCGCATAAATCACAATGTTTGATGATGTTTGATGGTTGATTCACTACTATTGATTGTTGAATTTAAGCCACCGTTTTGTGGGTCAAGCCGCCATTTCTTACTTTGGTGGTTCAAACAGCATTTGGTCAGTTGGATCCTAATATGTGCCACCTGTTGCTGCCTTTTGGCACGGCCAGGAGCCGCGAAAAATGCCGCGGCGAAAGCTGCTGGCGCTGCTGACGCTGGCTTTTGCAGGCCAGGATGGGCTCAGGAAAGGAGCAGTGTTCAAAACCCAAAATGTCGCCCCAATACATACTGCCCGTTTTTTTTTGGGTGTATTCTCAGCTCATGGATGATGACAATCTCAAGATATTGATAGTTTAATCCCATCAAGCATCATCAAGCAACATTGGTTTGAACAGAGCGCAATTATAAGGATTGAGCCAAAAAAAACGGATCTGTAGTTGATACAGCTGATATAATGATATAGCTGACTTATGATTGCAAAGTTGGTCTACCATAGCTAAGTAAGGTAAGCCCATCCACCTAATATCACAAATATTAAATTTATTGGTCACCAAAATCAAAGGTATATATACATATTCATATATATATATATATATGTATATATTATACATTTATTTTTGGTGGATGGAATAAGTAAGGGCGTTCCTTCAGCAGTTTGTGAGAAGCACCCCACAAAGATGGGTCGACTTCTCAATGGTACGCGGGGAAACGTGGAGATGATCAGAAATCTGGGAGAATGAACCAACAATATGCATCTGGTTGGTGGTTTGCAACAGCCATAATGGTGGTTAATAGTGGTTAATAATGGTTTCTGTAATGAGATATTCTGGTTGGTGGTTTGCAAGATTTTTCCATATATGTGGAATCATATTCCCAACTGACTTTCATATTTTTTCAGAGGGGTAGGTCAACCACCAACCAGGTTTGATTCAAGGTCAATGGTAGTGTGCCCAACCAAATGGAAGTTTTCACCAACAAGCGTATCGCTGTCAGCAACAATGACAGGTAGGACGAACACGGGGGGCTTTTCAACTGCTCAATGCACAGGTTCGGTGGTTGAGTTGAATGCCAAGAACAGTAAGAGGGGTGAAACCCGCACTTGTAAATTGTCTCATGTGGCTCCTGTCTTCATCGTTTTTTCAACCGCCCCAGCCAATCAACGTCATGATGTTTACATTGATTTCATCAAAGATAGATAGAATATATATATATACATTTTTTTTAATTGTCCAACGCAGGCATACCGCATCAGTTTACACAAAAAGTACCCAATGCAAATTCATCACAGCATAATTGAACATAATAATCATGGTTCATCAAAGTGGGAAACTGGGAAACCATCAAAAAATGGAGAGAGACCCCCAATAATTCCGCCATAAGTGTGGGCTAAATCCCTACCTGGATGTGCATCCCAGATAAGGAATAGTTTGAAGTTATATATTCATATACATCATGACCCGTTAATTTTTCCGATTAGTCTCAGCAACGAGGAAGAAGGCCGTTTTAGATCGTTTTAGTGTATTATTGAGATAATTATTACGATCCAGGATGATTTATTATGTATAGGGACATAACTCATCAATCTAATAGTAAAACCAATACATGAAATTATGTAAAAATTATCCAAATTTACCATATTACTTCTATAATGGAACAAACTATAACGATTTACAATAATTACCCCCAGATCCGGTTCCCGGGAAGCAAAAACGAAGGAGTCCTTGGCGTTGCTCCGCCCTTCACGCTGCTGAAGCGCCCCGCGCGCTTCTCGGCCACGCCGGTGGTGTCGGAGCACAGCAACGATGCGGTGAACCAATTGGCGCGAGAAGAGCAGCTTTGGTGCAAGGTGAATTGTTCCGGGGGAGAGGACTGGATTTGCCTAGAGAAAAGGGGAATTTCACCCAATTTAACCAACAAACATGGGAATTCATAGTGAATTTGTGTTAGATAGGTTCGTTTATAAGTATAAATTGGGTGATGCGTGCCGTAGGTGTATTCATGTTCGTTGGTGAAACCAAAAAAGGGCACCACATTGCAGCTCGGTTGAACTTTTCTCTTGGCAACTGCAAGGGTGGTGTTCCCCCCAATAAACTGGTTTATTTCTGATTAACATCCATTATATAGCTAGAGAAAATTGTATCATACACCCTTGTTTTTGGAGTTGTACAAGCCAACTGAATTAGCTAGCTATGGGGCACCACCTTGTCTTGGCATGATTTTAGAGATGATCCTAGGAGTTGGCATTGGTGATGAATTCACTTCTAATGTAGAGCAGCTGTTGTGTCCTGCACACAAGATATCTGCCATTTAAAACACCGTTGGAAACTCATCTGTTCATGATTTGCGAAGGGCACATTAGATCCATATTGGGGGTTCCATTGAAGCCATACCCTTTTGTTTCATCCAACCTAGGCAATGGAAGCCATTAAATCTATCTACTGGTTTATAATAGTCCAGCTGATTACTCACTCGTTTTTTCAGTGGATTTGTTTTGTTGGGAAAAACCAAAGGAAACAGCCGTTTTTTTTTTAACCATAACATATGAGCTTCCTAAGAATTTTGTCTTAAACCAATGCAATGATATTAATGTATGATTATGTGATGTTATATGATGTTATATGGTTGTCGCATTAACATCCACCAGCCACCAATCCACTGGCATTGGAATGTGTCGGCGAGAGCCTAGGCTCGAGTCCATCGGCGCCAAAGATGTGCGCTTCATGGATCAGCGCTGCTTGATGGGGTGACTTTCATGGGGCTCTCAATCTCTAAAAAGGTGACATAGAATATCATAAAACTATGAACGTCCGAGGGTAATTATAAAAAAAACACAATATATATATTTATATATATATATTTATATTTATTTATTTATCTACACACATATGTGTATATATAATATTTTATATATATATATATAATGTTTTTATGCCATCGGGGGGAAACCTCGCCAGTAGACGTGGACGTCTTGTAAAACACGCACATGCGACGTCACGCCAGGATACGCCAGGGTTTGGGGTGGCGGGTAGGTGTTAACGTTCATATCAACTTGCCGCACACACACACACACATGCTACGTCAGGCCAGAGTTTGGGGTGGTGTGTGTGTGTCTGTGTGTGTGTTAACGTTCATGTCAACTTGCCGCCCACACGTACATATATGTTTATACGTTTATACGTTTATATGATTATATGCTTATATGAATTACATGTTATGTGCGGTGTATATATATATATAGATATTTATTTTTTATAGACGTTATTTGTTGGTTTTATGTGAGAGAGATATATATATATATATATACGGAATGTTTTTTAATGATATGTTGTAAATAAAATATAATGTTACGTAATATACATATGAATTTTGATATAAAGTTAGATCAACAGATAGATAGATAAATATATATATATTATACATAGATAGACATATTATAAATATAGATAGATAGATTAGATAGATTAGATAGATTAGATAGATTAGATACATTAGATAGATTAGGTACCTTAGATAGATTAGATAGATTAGATATATTAGATAGATTAGATAGATTAGATAGATTAGATGGATTAGATAGATTAGATAGATGGAATAGATAGAATAGATAGAAAGATCAAAACGATTAGAAAGATAGATTAGATAGATTAGATAGATAGATTAGATAGATTTGATAGAGTAGATAGATAGACAGATAGATACACTAGATAGATTAGATAGATTAGATACACTAGATAGATTAGGTACATTAGATAGATTAGATAGATTAGATAGATTAGATAGATTAGATAGATTAGATAGATTAGATAGATTAGATAGATTAGATAGATTAGATACATTAGATAGGTTAGATATATTAGATAGATTAGATAGATTAGATAGATTAGATAGATTAGATAGATTAGATATATTAGATATATTAGATAGATTAGATAGATTAGATAGATTAGATAGATTAGATAGATTAGATAGATTAGATAGATTAGATACATTAGATAGGTTAGATATATTAGATAGATTAGATAGATATATAATAGATAGATTGATAATAAAAGATAGATGGGGTGGGATGGGATGGGGTGGGGTGGGGTGGGATGGGAGATAATTTATAGATAGATAGATAGATAGACATGACAGATTTTAGATAGACAGTAGGGACAGATAGACAGATACAGATGACAGATGGACAGATAGAGGATTAGATAGATTAGATAGATAGATTAGATCATAGATAGATTAGGTACATTAGATAGATTAGATATATTAGACAGACTAGATAGATTAGATAGACAGATAGTTTAGATAGATAGATAGATAGATAGATAGATAGATAATTCGATAGATAGATAGATAATTCGATAGATAGATAGATAGATAGATAGATAGATAGATAGATAGATAGATATA